CTGAAATCCGGAAATATTTGAACTACCTAGTGCTTTCTACATAACCAACCCTATGGTTTGTAGGAAACTCGAGGAAGAAGTGGAAATCTTGAAAACACTCTAATGTAGGAATCTTTTATAAGCTTTGAGAAATTTTTTATTTGGACAAAATACAAAGGCTGAACTATATGCTCTATAACATAAAAGCATCCGCGAGCTCTTGCGTTACGAGCATGATTTGAGTACGACTACGGGTTCATAAAGGGCGCGCTACATCGTATTAATTTACCTTGAATTTCTAGTTCTGTCACCCAAGAAAAGTATTGTTCTTGTATTAATTTAGCTCCTCTTAGTAATGCTTTTAGAACGCTTTATTGTGACCTACAGCCTGTTTTTTGAGTGACAGTTTTTCATTCAACAAAGCGAATACTTGAATTCAAGCTCCCAAACTGGCGAAGATGAGTTCTGAAACTTAGTTAAAGAAGAGGGTAGAGCTGATATCGTCTTTGTCTTTGTTTCAAGAGACTTTTTTGTTCCGTAGAACAATTTTGTACATTTCTTTTTTAATAAAACACCTATATATGCTGATGCCATATTGGTCAAGTCTTAACTATAGAGTTTTGATAGTATACTTGAGCACTCAAGGAAATGAAACCGTTACTAGTAACAGTTGGGAATTGCAAAGGAATTGCATCCTTTTACATTTTTTGAAGGGAGCACACTGCTTATATTTTGACGACGATTTGCAACATTCCGCCCAATTACGTATTACTCAAACAACTGAATCCCAAATAAGATATCCACATGTTTCCAAACAAAATATTAAAGAAGTTTCTAGTCTGCATGACGTTAATTGAGCTCCAAGAGCTGATCCCAAAATATTAACTAATTAAATCTTTGTTCTCAGTGAGTGATTGATCGGCACACATTATTGTAAAAGACAAACTAGAATGCATATGCACAACAGATTATAAGTATTATACATACATGTCAAAAGCGAATCAGTTGACAATGTGCGCAAATCAAAATCAAACAATATCACTACTGTATCTCAACAGTATTTTTACAGTAAAAACAGCAGTCGTTACGAAACCTGATGGAAAACCACTACCTACGGATTCTTCCGGAAACTTTGTAACTGAGGAAGGTATCATTGTTGAAAAAGATGAAAAAGGAAGGCCACTAGGCCCCGATGGACAGGTGCTGCCAACAGACGAATCCGGAAATTATATTTACCCCGTTCTTGGACCCGACGGAAGTCCACTTCCAACGGATGAGCACAGGAAACCTATTCATACGGTGTTTGGTTCCTATGGCAGACCCCTGCCGACAGATGAGTCGGGCCGTCCAATAGGGAAGGATGGAGAGCCTATTCCAACCGATGATAATGGGGTTCCCTTAGACGAGAGTGGACAACCTCTGCCCACCGACAGCAGCGGACATTATGTGACTTCCGAGCGCGAAGAACTGCCAAGCAAAGAACTTCCAACTGATGAAAGTGGAAATGTCATCTATCCTATCAAAAAAGCAGATGGATCCTTGCTGCCGACTGATGCTTCTGGTAGCTATATAACAGAAGATGGTTCGGTTATCGAAAGGGATGAAGAAGGCAGGCCTCTTGGCCCTGACGGTCAAGTTCTAGCTACCGATGACACTGGAAATTACATCTACCCCATGCTAGGACCAGACGGGAAACCATTGCCAACAGACGAATATCAACGGCCTATTCATACAGTAGTCGATGCCGATGGCAAACCGCTACCTACCAACGAGTTGGGACGACCACTAGGAAAAAATGGAGAACCTGTTCCGACAGATTCAAGCGGCATCCCCCTAGGCTGGGATGGGCGACCTCTACCAACCGATAACAGTGGGCACTTTGTTATTCCTCTTGAAGAAGCTGTAAGGAAAGGAATGCCAACAGATGAGAGCGGTACTGTGATTTACCCAGTAACAAAGCCTGACGGGTCTCTGCTTCCTACCGATTCTTCTGGGAACTATGTCACCGACGAGGGAACTGTCATTGAGAAGGACAAAGAAGGCAGGCCGCTTGGTCCAGATGGGCAAGTGTTACCAACAGACGAATCCGGAAACTACATATACCCTGTTCTTGGACCTGATGGAAGCCCACTTCCAACGGACAAACATAGAAAACCTATTTATCCAGTGCTTGGTTATGATGGTAGTCCTTTGCCGACGGATGAATCGGGTCGGCCATTAGGGAAGGATGGTGAGCCAATTCCTACAGATGCTAGCGGCATTCCCTTAGATAAGAAAGGAGACCCTATGTCGACCGACAGCAGTGGAAACTACGTCACAGAGCCCGAGGAAGAGCCAACCAAAGAACTGCCTACTGACGAAACTGGAAATATCATTTATCCCATCAAAAAGGCGGATGGATCCCTGCTGCCGACTGATGCTTCTGGCAACTATGTAACAGAAGACGGGTCAGTGATTGAACGCGATGAAGAGGGCAGACCTCTTAGTCCCGACGGTAAAGTGCTGCCCACCGATGACTCTGGAAATTACGTATATCCTCTGCTAGGGCCGGATGGAAAACCTCTTCCAACGGACGAGCATCGACGTCCCATACATCAAGTACTCGGCACCGATGGCAGACCATTGCCAACAGACGAATCAGGGCATCCATTAGGAGAAGATGGGAAACCGATCCCGACTGATGCAAGCGGAACTCCGTTAGACA